TCCAGTGCAATCCCACATAGTTGGCCTCTTCAGGGTGCCGTCGGCCAGACAGTGTCGGCGAGTGACCCCCAGGGGGAGCGCCTTCTCTGTGGGAGCGCCTTCCCTCTGGAATGAGCTGCCCCCGGAGCTTTGCATAATCCCCGACCTCCGGTCCTTCTGACGCGCCCTAAAAAATTGGCTTTTCCAGCAAGCCGGCCTGGCCTGAACAAAACAAAATAAATGATTGATCATTGTTAATTTTAATCAAAAAAAATTTAAAAATGTTATTGTTAATTTTAATTGGGTTTGTTTGGGATACTCTATTTAATTTTTTTTAAAGTTTTGTATTATGTGTTTCTTTTAATGTTGTACGCCGCCCTGAGTCCTTGGGAGAAGGGCGGCATATAAATCTAATAAACCTAAACTTAAACCTAAACCTATTTTCCAAGCTGGCTCATCTCCAAGAAATATGAGATACAACTCCCAACATTCACAGCTATTTGGCCATTTGGCTAGACATCAGAGCTGCTCTTTAGCCCACCTTTAAACCACGATGCCTGGGAGTTAAAACTCCAAGATACCCACAAAGATGAGGAAAGTCTGATCTATATCTAGGGATTGGCCTCTGGTTGGTTTTATCCAAAGCTACATCTGAAACAGTATATTTGTCTCAGTTACCTTGTATACCATTTCCCCAACCAGTACAACCATATGCAAGGGTTTCTGTATTCTGCTATTTCCTTTTGGTTGCTTAAAAAGCGCAATCCCACAATGGCATAAATAGAGCTGAAGTAGCTTTGGTTGGTGGTGTAAACACTTCTGGGGAATGCATTGATTTACTTGCTCCACTTCTCTTTACTTTCTAAACCATCTCAATGCTCTTGTCATATTCTGGATGATAAATAACTTTGCTGTAGTCAAAGCATACTCCTCTCTTTTCAGTACTCAGCGCTGGTCCTTCCCATGTTTTCCGGTATCTACTCATGTTAAGAACAATAAATATTCCCCGAATAAGGACATGGGTGCCTATCAAGAATGGACTCTTACTTTCTTTGCATTAGAATTCTCAAGATCCCACAAAGTGGCGTAAAATGACAACGAATCGTCTCAAAATTGCAGAGCTTAGTTATGCCAGCTCAGGAGGAAAGGAAACTGGTCTCCAGGTGTTGTCTTTGCTCACCTAGCTGGAGCTTCTGGGACTGATGATTAATCCAGAAGGCCATGGTTAAGTGACCTTGATTATCTCAAGGGCATTAGTATCTTGATCAATCCCCCAAATCTTTCAATGAATCCCAGAAAGCACTAGACAGAAAACCCTGGGGAAACAAAAGGATAAATGATCTCTTGCTTCCAAGAATATCATCTGGATTATAAAGCCCCCAGTTTTACTTATAGTACATAAACCAGTCACAGATTTATCCAGGAAAGCCTCGAATAGGTTTCATCCTTTGGTCTGAGTTGAAATTACCATTTCGGCCTTGATCAAATTCTCTCCAAATACCTACAACTAATCTTTTTCAACAGATTTTTAAAATACTAGTTCCCCCTCTGTATACACTTTTTTTGTCCTTGTTTTTATTCTAGATTTCCAAAACTATTCACAGTGGTGAAAGGACAGCCAACTTTCCTACAGCCAACATAGCAATGCTGCCCTCTTGAGTTCATTGCAGTGTAAAAACAAACGTGTTTGAATAGGGCACCCTGATTCGCATCATTACGGTATTTAGCTGGCAGTCATACCTGAAGCACTGGTCGTAACTTGCTTTTAAACTTTATATATGTATATTTTAAAATGATTTGCTTTTATCAGGTTTGTCACGTGAGAATTATCCTCTTTCTCCAAGTCGGAGAAATGGAGAAGGACAAATATTGCCTGCTATGAGTAACCTTACTTCCATGTGAAGTAACCCAGACTATCTTCTAGTATAAAAATAGCAATAGCACTTAGACTTATATACCACTTCACAGTGTTTTACAGCCCCCACCCCACCCCCACCCCATCCCCGTAAATGGTTTACAGAGTCAGCCCCCAACAATCTGTGTCCCCATTTTGCTGACCTCGGAAGGATTTGAATTTGAATTTGAATTGCTTTATTTGTATGCCGCCCTTTTCCCTGGGGGGATTCAGGGCAGCTCACAATTCAGGGGGAGGGGGGACAAACAAGTTACAAACATAAAGACAATACATCATTAAAAACGCAACAGTCATACTATTCGAGTGGGGTTGAGGTCTCTAGCCCCAGGCCTGTCGGGACAGCCAGGTTTTAAGGGCTACGCGGAAGGTCTGGAGGGTGGTGAGGGTACGAATCTCCACAGAGGGTGGAGATTCGTACCAGAGGGTCGGAGCAGCCACCGAGAAGCCCGCCCCCCAAAATAAGCCCCCTGGACAACACCCCCCTTCTGGCCAGTCAGAACACCGCTCACTGACCTAGCAGTATCCCAAAAGCGCCAAGCCACGGGAGCCAGGGGGAAAGGCGCTCATGTTGCTTGGTGCCTTCAGGATA